TCAATTATAATAGTTACTTTATAGCACACAAATTATATTTTATTTTTAAATGCAATTACCTTAGAAGATTTTTTTTTAAATTTCTTTGTTGGTCCTGAAACATTTTGTACAATTTTTTAAATTAGTCACTAGATTTAGGGAAAAAGTGAATCTGCTGTCATCTACACTGGAATTAGTGGGCATGCCTTGCAGCCATACCTTCCCCACTTCCTGCCCTGGAGGACCCTAACCTGGTTCTAGAACCAAGTAGAAATTATATTAAAAATATAGGTTCCCAGCTTTATTCCCTAAGTTTTTTATCTAAGTGTTTCAGAATCTGCATTTAAATATATTTTATGTATGTACAAATTTTTAGTGGCGCTCAATCCACATCTTTTTTTTTCTTTATTGATTTTTTTTTTTTTTTTTTTAGAGAGAGAGGAAGGGAAAGGGAGAGAGATAGAAACATCGATGAGAGAAAACATCGACTGGCCACCTCCTGCATGACCCCACTGGGGATTGGGCCCACAACCTGAGCATGTGTCCTGACCAGGAATCAAACCAGCAACCTCTTGGTGCATGGGTCAACGCTCAACCACTGAGCCACACCAGCCGGGCTCAATTCACATCTTGAAGAAACATCCCTGAGACTTCTATGAGCACTGTTAGAAACAACTAACCTAGCGTATGCATACATGTTCCACCACACACCATTCCACATGAACAATAAAATGTGGAGATCATAATTTTGCCCAAGGGAAAGATTTCTTATTCCTAATAAATCTTAATATTAAGCCTCATTAAACCATAAATGAGCATTTAGTCAAAGGGGATTTGAGGACCAAGGACTCAGAACTTTGCTCTCCTTGATTTCTCTCAGTAGAAAATGAATAAATTGAGTCAAACAAAGGCTCTTTCTTTGAGATAAAATGATCATAAATTATGTTACTTAGCTATGAACCAATTTACGGTCTATAATAAAATGTCCTGGGTTAATAGACTTGGCCAATTAAACTGACTGTTGAGGTCAGAGGAGAGGATTGTGAGGTCATATAAAATTACAAACTGGAAAGAATCATTGCACAATATTTCCAAGTCTACAACATTCTAAACATATTTAAATTTGAATTATCCAGAAAGCCTGGATGTTAGGTGATTCAAATATCTTGATTCAATTATAAGCAAATAACAATTTTAAAAAGTTCTTAGCTGAGTAGGAGTACTACTTTTTTCCCCAAATTCCCTAGTATTTCCTGTAGAATGAATGGATATAACTCATGTTTCTTCTGTTTTGTTTTGTTTTTTTAACAAGATTTGTTCTTTTTCCAAAATCCTAAGAAAATAACTTGTCTTAGATGTTCTTTTTCACTGCATAAATTGAAGAAAATGCAAATTTCATCCAACTCCAATCTTAAAAGAACATGCAAATTGCAACTGATAATATTTACACTGAATACACTTTCTTATTTCACTGGATCATAATTGAGAACAATATTTACTTCTGTATGTCTTGATTTAAATCTTAGAAAAAAAGTCATGCCAGGTGCCCTTAGTTGGTCCCAGCTGAGCAGGATGAAGGGAGAATCCATTCAACAAGACCTGTGCCAAGGTCATGGCTTCAAATGCCCAGCCTGAGAAAAAGAGATGACTTTTTCTAAGTCATATAAAAGTGTTGAATAAAGTAGCTATATTGAATAAAGTAGCCATATGGAATGCTGCTACTCTCCCACGTATAAGAAAGTAAAAAATCAAAGATATAGTCCTGTTTTAGACCACAGAATGAACTCCAGATCCTCAGGTTAAAAGATTAAAGCGTGTACACATACACAGTGGGATGTTACTTGGATTGTCCCTTTATTTAGCTTTTACCATTTCATTTTAATGACGAAAAACACATCTAAGACTAGACTACGCAACGAGAACTTCCCTACATATCCCTACACCACCATAACTTTTCTAGACTCAATATTGCTGCATTAAGTACAGAAAGTGTGAGCATATGTTAAGACATGTCCATGTACTTCCTTTCTGCTGCACTTGCTGATGAATGGTCTTCACCAACCCGAGCCAGAAGCGATCTTTGCCTTAGGGAGAACTGGCACCATGGGATATGCAGAGAAAGACAAAATCGGTGCACAGCTTTTTGATTTGTAAAACTGATCTTTAAAACTATTCAGACACAATGATGTTAAAAATCTGGACTTAGATTTCAAGAGCCAGACCCTTGAGAGGGAAACGCATTTTATAAATTAGAATACCTTCCCTTTAAATATAAAAAAAAATACAAAATTTGGAAAACTGAACTTGAAGTTTTACTATAAGCCATAGATTGGGTATATGATGCATAAGAATTATCTCTTACCACAAAGTAAAAAAAAGGTCAAACCTTCCTTGAAGCCTAGAGAGAAGGGAGAGGAAGGCTAGAGGAGATGTGACCTTAGGGACTGCGTCTCCTCCAGGATTCATTGCGTAACCTAATATATGTATACAGCCTTGCAGGTTGCCTAGCATTGACTAACTTTTATTTAAAATTCTGAACTTTGCCTGGCTGGTGTGGCTCCGTGGTTGAGTGTCAACCTATGTGCACCAAGAGGTCGCTGGTTTGTGCACAAGCCTGGGTTACGAGCTCGATCCCCAATAGTGGGTGTACAGGAGGCAGCAGATTAATGTTAATACTTCTTTCTCTCATCAATGTTTCTATCTCTCTCTACCTCTCCTTTCTTCTCTCTCTAAGTAATCAATAAAACATTACTTTAAAAATTAATAACTTTGTTTAGATAACCTGTAAATGCACTTAGATCACCTTAATTGTTATAAGGTGGGCTAACCACATCATGTGATATGCTAAAAGTTTAAGAGAAGAGCTAAATCTTAGTTAGTTAAACTTTTACATACCTATCCCATCCCTAACTTTGATCATTCCCAGACCTGTCTTTTAAAGGAAACCCAGGGATGATTTGCAGAACCAGAGGGCTAATTCGGGTCGAATAGCCTCAGGCTGGTCCCAGCAGCCTAAGGACTCTCTACTGACCTCCTCCAGAATTTTTCTCCTTGTCTTGTCATTGTAATACTAAAGTCCCCTCCCAGGAGTGGAGATTTTCTGCCATCTTTGAACATGCAATGTTCGTATAGGCATGTTTGCTAACTGTGAGAGTGCAGGAATGTTCCACCTACACACGTGATGACGAGTGCACTGTGATGTTTGTACATGATTTCCCTGAAGAAAGAGGGATCCAAGTTCAGGGATGCACTGCTGAGGTGGCAACCCCAGTGTGCTCCTTGTGAGCTGGAGAGCAACAAGTCTCCTCCTCATAAAACCATCTCAAAGTCGTCTTTCCACCAGCAACTGCTGCGTAATTGGGTCTGGTTAAGTCCGATAACAATTGCCATGCAAAGCACATCTATTAAACATTTTTGACCATTAAGTGTTCTTATTTAAAATACATTTAATATTGTGGTGTGTAGTCTGTAATTATAAAGAATAAATACATAGATCCCAATCACCAACTAATCCATACATCAAATAATCATGGAGACCTATTACATACTCATCACTTAGAAATAATGCAATACAGTAGGAAATCACAACCCCTTCCATTATTCAGGGAATATGCAGTCTCCTGGGGGTGGTAGGGCTAAGAGACAAACATTAAAAATTAATACATTCCTGAGCTTCTAATAGGTTACCATATTTCTATCTATACCTTTACCACTTAGAAGTGAGATTCCAGCCTGCCTTTTTCTTCATGGAAATACAGATTTTTAATGAGGTGTGTGATTTATTTGCACAAGGCAGAGAAAGTTTCTGAAATTAACCAATGCATTTTTATGAATCAGAAGCAGCCCAAGGAAAAAATTGCGTATTGACATTTCAAAAATGATTTGCCAACTGTCATATGTGATCAAAACAAAGTATTGATATCTGCTACTCTACATACTTTGGGCAGCTTGACTGCTAATGCTGAACTCAAATGATGGTAAAACTGGAACCATTTTAACAACAGAATGACAGCAAGGGAGAGCTCAGCCAGCCTGCGTGAAAGAGCCAGCCCGGGAAGAGGGAATCATTGCCCCCCAAGGCTCCCCTTGAGCACAGCCGGTCACGAGCAGGGCAGCCGATACACCATCCGTTTTCTTCGAAGCCATAGCTTCAAAGGCCCAAATACATGATGGTGAAGAGCAAAGATGGGAAAAGAGCAAAGTGGCAAGGAAGTGAAGGAGGAGAAGGAGAAGGGGGTTCGGTAGGGAGAAATGAACGATCATTTTAAAACATCATATTAACAGTACTTTTTTAAAAAATATGTGTTTATTAATTTTTTTAGACAGAGAGGAAGGGAGAGAGAGATAGAAACATCAATGCGAGAGAAAGACATCGATAGGCTGCCTCCTGCATGCCCCCCACTGGAGATCAAGCCTGCAAGCCAGGCATGTGTCCTGACCAGGAATCGAACCTGGACCTCTCAGTCCACAGGATGATGCTCAATCCACTGAGCCATACCAGCCAGGTTTAACAATGCTTTCTTTTTGTTTTTTTTTCCTTTATCTATTTTTAGAGAGAGAGGAAGGGAGAGGGAGAAAGAGATAGAAACATTGATGAGAGAGAACATCGACTGGCCACCTCCTGCATGCCCCCACTGGGGATCGGGCCCACAGCCTGCGCATGTGCCCTGACCAGGAATCGAACCAGCGACCTCTTGGTGCATGGGTCGATGCTCAACCACTGAGCCACAGTGGCCAGGCAACAGTGCTTTTTAATGAGTGGTGATACCACAAATTATTTTTCTTTACTTATTCATGGTTTTCTCTAGTTTCTGTGCTTCTCACGAGAGCATTCACTCCTTTTTAAATTATTTTTTTTCTCACTTTTATATGAAAGAGTATACTTAAGCCCTCCCATTCTGTAAATTAAACTGCATCTTTACAATAGCACTGGGGTAGATTAAGCAGTGGGGCAGAAGTTTGGGAACTGCTTAATGGATAGCTCCTGAGACATGTTCGAAATACAGCACGGGGTCACTTACCTCGTATGATCCACTGCGGGCCTGTGGTTTTCTTCCCCTTGATGAATACTGGTTCCGTTACCAACTCCCCACCTGAATGTGTTTGAATCTTGAATTAAATGTTCAGGGATTGGCTGGTACCATTTACACAGGCTTCCTTTTTCAAAGCTGCAAACTTCCACTACTTGAATAGGGTGGAACAAAGACAAGATCAGCTCATCAAAATGAATGTGTCAATACACGGTGATGTTTATCTGTATGACCACTTTCTTACTCTTGGGTTTCTAAAAATTGGCATAATTAAACTAATTAGGCAAATTAATTGTATACTTACTAGAAGAGTGTTAAAGAAATCTACTTTATTATATTCAAATACCTATAGTAACCCAAATATGGGGATAAGGAATCTGCTTTCATAAGGAGGTGAGCCTGTAATTAGCTCCTAGAGCAGCTACCTCAGCATTGCCAGTCTCTTCTAATAACACGTACATGCCCGCATCACTTCCAAGTTCTGAAATGTCGTTCTTTTTCCACATTAATATTAACAAAGCTAAACTTTATCCCAGTATCTGATAGGGTTTTTCCAAATTCCAAACTACTTACGTTCAAAGCAGTAAGATTTACAATAACTTTCATATTGGACCTTTTAGCTTGCAAGTTCTCAATATTCTTGTAATGACTATATTCTAATATTACACAAAATTACAAGTCCGTTTTTCAAATACATCGGTTGTATTTGAAAATACACCTCTCTCTAAATGTGTTCATGTGTCTATGTGTCAGTCTTAAATCCTCCACTGCTTGAGTAAGAGATTCAATTCAGTGAGTTCCTGTATATACTATAAAAAGCCCAGCACGCACTCCAACTTTTAAATGGCATAAACAATGATGATATACCACTACCCCATTTACAAACTTGTGTTCAAGAGCTAATGTGAAACCTGAGATAGAAACAATCCATCAAAAAAAAAAAAAAGTTATTTTTAGTGATAACATTCAGGCATGTTGTTTAATCTCTGATATTAATATTGATCATCTATTTATCCTGTACAGAGATTTAGGATTCAATAAAATCCTGTTCTTCTCATAATTAAAAAAAAGATAAGAATCATAGATTTTTAGAAAACTTTTTGAAGTCATAAAGTTTCAGTCTTCCAAGAGGAATAAGCTCTAAAGACATGCTGTACAACATTGTGCCTACAGTGAACAGTAATGTGCTGTACCTTAAAATGTAAGATGGGTCTTGGCCAGGTATCTCAGTGGTTAGAGCATTGTCCCAATACTCTACAGGTGTGGGTTTGATCACTGGTCAGGGCACACACATACAAGAAGCAACCAATGAATGCATGATAAGTGGAACAATAATTCAATCTCTCTCTCTCTAAAAATCAATGGATAAAAAACAACAACAAAACAAAACATTTGTGCCTTGCTTTTGTGGCTCAGTGGTTGAGCTTTGAACCATGCGCCAAGAGGTCATCAGTTCGATTGCCAGTCAGGGCACATGCCCAGGTTGTGGGCCCAATCCCCAGTGAGGGGCATGCAGAAGGTGGTCAATTGATGTTCTCTCTCATTGATGTTTCTGTCTCTCGCTCCCTCTCCCTTCCTCTCTCTCTAAAATCAATAAAGAAAAAGAGTTTAAACAAAACACACACACATTTGTTCAGATGGTAAATCTCATTTTATATTCTTATCACAATAAAAAATATTAGAAAATGTAAGACTGTAGGTGGTAGACATATTTATCATATTTCATCTTACAAAGAGATGGAAGAGACTAGACCACACAGTTCACTCAGAAATAAAATGGTAATAATTCCATTCATGTTTATTCAAAGCAATAAATATCTCTGTGATTTAAAAATAATAACAGTAGACATTCATTCAGGACATTTAAAGAACTTATTAAACCTGACCATCCAATCATAAATGACATTACTAAAATTGTAAAATTGAACTAAGGAAAGTCAGCATGCACTAATGATATTTATTAGATGTAATTAATTAGATTCTATGTGAATTTTACAAATACCACAACTTATGTATGTTCATAAGAGGATTTTAGTGTCTTCCCATGAGAAAGTCTGAAAACCATAACCTCTTCCATTGCATCATCTACCATCTGTGAAGCACTGTATGAATCTCTAGCCACTTCAGTTAATTACTGTCCCATTTCATTGTAAGTCAGCTTTGATTTTATGAGTTTTTAGTTTGAATTAATTACTTAATTAATTTTTCATTAAGAAGCTTTTTTTCTGGGTTAAAAATATAAATAGGAAACTTTAAAAAAAAATTTTTTAAGTTCTAGAATTTCTCGACAAGGCTAACCTAAAGCAACAAATTAGGGTTTCATTTTACTCTCTATTATCTATATATTCTGATTTTTTCATAGTCTCAGGCCACTTGAGAAATAAGACAGTACAGCAAATACATCTACTACTAAATAAAGAGCAGAGAAAGAAAAATATCACAGTATTCAGTCCTCTTGATTTTGTGCTCTGCCCAGTCACACCTAGATCAAGTATTCTCCTCCCAGGCTGTATCTTTGACTGAGAAGCTCACTTTTAAATTAATAATTTTCCTCTGAACCATTCTGGAGAATCTGTGGATTTCATTCAGTAAATGAAAATAATCTTTCAAGAGGACACAGGTGTTGAAGGGCCAATCTGTATTGGAATCAGTGCCTTATAAACTCTGAATATGTGACACAGCAATCATTTTATATGTGCATTTTGGCAATGGGAAAATTTGAACAAATTCATCTGATGTGCAGGTTTTATAATGCTTCCTTCTTAAACATTTCTATTTCATGAATGTGAGTAGATTAGAGACCAACAGTGGTATGGACAGAAAAGAGCTAGTACATAATCGTCCTGAAATCAAGTAAACTCCATGAAAACAAGTGTTTTGAATCCAAAACATAAAATTAAAGACGTTTACCTCTTGTTGGGCATGACAGAAGAATGCATGCTGATTCTCCTATTATAATTTCTTATACAAATAGTTTTTATATAAAGAAATGGCTGTAAGCCAAGTTGAAAATTTCTAACCAGGACACTAGGCCATGCTACTAAGAGATTATCCTGCTATTTTCTTACCTGTTATCTGTTTTACCGTTATATTTAATAAAAAATTAAGAATTTACTTACCACAAAATGATTCATCTGATTTGTCATGGCAGTCATATCTAAAATCACACTTCTGGGTTTCTTGAACACAGTGACCATTGGACCTACAGACAAACTCATCATCTGTACAGTTGTGTGGAGGTAATGTCACTGGAATGGAAGTTTCCGGTGGAGTTGGAAGGTCCACTGGCAAATTACCTTGATAAGAAAGGATGTTCGGGTGTCATTTAGCAGATACTTCATTTCTTTACAGATTTTACACAGCAAGCTTTTCTAAGTATGCTTCATGTTCAACATAACAAAAAATATGTGATAGTATTTGCTAATCTCTTAAACTTTTTTATGTAAGCACATAATTCCGGTTCTTGGCCCTAACAATGGCAAATAACTCTGAATATCAAAAAACTCTGATAACTTTGATTATCAAAACAGGTGAAGGCACAGATGGAAATTATTGAAAAACTATTCAGAGCTCACTGAATAAATAGGAGGCCTAAGAACGGGGCTTAAAGTATCAGCAGAAACCAAGGGAGTTCCAGGTGCTGCCGCAAGGGAATAGCGTCAAGGTCTGATGAAACCTTCTTGTCCACCAGGTCAATTAACTTTGTTCTTCCAGTGCTGTAATGAATCTAACATCTCCTGGTCTTTGTTTCACACATCCTCACACATTTAAGATTCAAAGTTGCACAGAGACCCACACCAGAAGTATTCATCTAGTAGTATTTAAAAAAGTAAAGAAATAATTTCTGAAATTACAGAATTTAGAAGAAACTTATAAAAGTTAACTGATATAGTAAATCATTGAATAAATATTTATTAATAACATTCCTATGTCATACACATAATAGGTGCAATGGAGTTAAAGCCAAACATGCAACCACTGCAATAAAATAGCTTATAGTCTAGTGGATAAGGCAAAAAAATCTTTCATTACAGTTTCATAGCATATCATAAGGTTATGATAGAGATTATCACTCAGTTCGTTCATCTGCATATATACCAAGCAAAGTTGTATAACATTTATTTATTACATCACTGTGTGATTAAATGTGTTAACACTGTGAAATACGTAGAATAGTGACTATTCGGTGAGCAACAAGTAGGTCCTTTTTTTTTTAATCCTCACCTGAGGATATGCTTATCGATTTTAGAGAGAGAGGAAAGGAGAGAGAGAGAGAGAGAGGGAAAAAAAAGCCAAAACATTTGATTGGTTTTCTCCTGTACACACACTGACTGGGGAATCAATCCCACAACCTTTCAGTTTATGAATGATGCTCCAACCAACTGAACCATAATAGCCAGGGCCCATGTAGGTCCTTTTTAAATAAATAAACTGTTGTTTAGATTTGAACTTTAGATGAATGGACTCATTCTGTATTTAATGTTCTTCAACTTGATCTTTTACTCAACATCGTGTATTAATCCATTCATGACCATCAGCATTCTTGTAGTTCAGTTATTTTAACTGTTGTATAATATTTCACTATATGACTATATTACATGTTCAGCCATTAGTGGTTTTTAGTTTATTCCATTTGAGGTTTTGTTTACTTACTTCTTTCTTACTTTTCTCCTGTATCAGGAGTGGAATTGCTTGGTGACAGAGCATGCGCAGCTTCATCTGGGTAATGCCAAACTGTTTCCAATGCAATTGCATCAGTTCCTATACTTCTCAGCAGTGTATATTCTGGTTGTATTACATACTCATCATCTTTTGGTATATCTATATAAACCCATGTGTTTGCCATTTTCTTTACTGTCTATTTCCTTTTGCAAATCTGTCCTCGTTGAGTTCATTTTATCTCTTTCTGATGTTCACATTTACATGGTTTATTGGGTAGAACCAAAGAGTCCAGTGCACTACAATCTGTTTGTTTAGTTTTGTGTGTTAGTCTCTGAAAGTCTTTTTTCACTCTCACTTCTGAGCTTTGTTTTGTTGTAAACTAAGTTATAATTTCTCAGAATTTTGAATATAACATTCACGTCTTTTGATCTCATTCTTGCCATTGTAAAGTCAGCTATCAGTCTGACTGTGGTTCTTTTATAATTGTATTTTAATCTCTGACTGTATTTAACATGATCTCTTTTCTTTGTTGTTTTTCTAATACATTTCTATAAGTTTAGACCTGGATTTATTCCTATTATAATATTTGCATGAGGTTCACTAGGCTTCTTTTTTAATTAATTAATTATATTTTATTTAAGTATAGTTGGTATACAATCATATATTGGTTATATTAGTTTCAGGTGTACCATATAGTGATTCAACATTTCTATATCTTACAATGTGATCATCCCTCTACGCTTCTTAAATCCATGTATTCCATTAATTCTCAGCAATTACACTTTGAAAATTGCTTCTTGTCAATTTTCTTTTTCTCTCTCTGGAACTCCATTAGCTTTTATGATCTATCCTTCAAATAAATCTACCTTTCCCATTTTCCTTCTCTATATCTATATGCTTCACCCTGAAATTTCCTCATAGCTATTTTCCATTTGACTAATTACAATATTGACGTTGTCTTTCGGGTATTTAATTCATCCACTGAGATTTTTATTTTCTTGATTTTATTTCTCATATCAAGAAGAGTAATTTGATTTCTTTTTCAAAATGCACTGTTGTTTCCTTTTTTTAACAAGGTCATGGCATTTTCTTAAGGCTTGGAATACTTTAATATTTTAAATTATTTGTTTATTAGTTTTCTATTTTTGCATAACAAATTTCTACACACCTTAGGAATTTATACGGTTAAACACTCATTATCACTCACAATTTCTATGAGTCTGAAATGCAGAAGAGGTTCAGCTTGGTGGGTCTGCCTGAGAGTCTCACAAGGTGTCGTTACAATGTCAGCCAAGGTGCAGTCCTCTAAAGTCTTGGCTGGCCCTGGGGATCTGCTTCCGCGGGGGGCTTGCTCGCATGCTTAGGGAGTTAGTGCTGCTGTTGGCAGGAGGTCTTAGTTCATGGACTTTCTCTATAGGGCTTCTTTTGACTCAGTGTCTGGCTTTCCTTAGAGTGAATGATCCAAGAGAAGACAGCAGAAACCTAGCTTTGGAAATCACACATAGTCACTGTCACATGGGTCATTGGTTCTACAAGTCAATCCTACTCAGTCGAGAGGGGAGTGGGATGCAGGCCATGAATACCAAGATTAGGGATCATTAGGGGCTATTTGGAAGCTGGCTCCCATTATTTACCATGTTTGGTTTTTCTGTGAGGATCATGTATCACCTAGTTTGTAGAAGAGTCCTTCTAGATAAACTGAGTTGTTTCTTCTGGAATCCCACTGGCACCCAGCCCAAGGGTGTTATACCCCCGGCCCTCCTTCCCTTTGCCTCCCTCCCATCCATCCCATATGCTGTTACTCCCTAACTCTGGCAGTCACATCATGCCTCCTGTTCTATTTCTAAATACTTTCTCTGTTTCTCTCAACTGGGGATTTCTCTTTTTCCTAAGTTCAGCTTAACATTTAAATAAATGGAAGTTACATCTGACATTTCTTGGCATATGCACTGCAATCATTTACAGATCTTCTGTCTTTCGGAAACCAGTAGCCTTAGCTCCATCTTTGGGCCATTTCAATGTAAAGTAGCAAACAGTTCCCCTTAGGAAGAAATGGTGGACATGGGTGATGTCTTAGGAAAAGGAAGTTAATGAGATGATCCTCGTGGAAAGTAGATACAACTCATTTTCCATCTCAGAAGTGATCGAGAATGGTAGGCGAGAAGACCACTACTCAAAAGAAGAGATGATAAGATTCTGAAATTATCTGTCTTTTCCTCTTTACTCTCTGTTATCCCACCAGAGTGAGCAAATATTAAAAACCAAACAAGCCCAAAGTATCATCCTAAGTGAAACAAGCCAAACAGAGAAAGACAAGTTTCGTATGATCTCACTTATTTGTGGAATATAATGAACATAAAAGCCCGAGGAATGGGGTAGTCCCAGAGACGTGGAAGTGGGGTACAGAATGACAATCCCTGGAAGAGGGGGGTGGTGGGGGAGAGATAAACCACAGAACTTGTATGCATGTATGCATGAACAGTGGACATGGACAACAAACTGGGGAGGGGGCAGGGAGGGAGGGGGGGGAATCAGTGGGGGAAAAAGGAGAAACATCTGTAACAAAAATTAATTTAAAAAAACAAACAAACAAGCAAGCCCAAACATGTTTGTATTTGAGAGTAGCAAAGAGAGCAAATTGAGAAAAGTGTTTCTTACTCTGGAGCCAAACTTTGGAAATGGTGGCGTTTGTAAGTGGGAAGATGGAGTTGCCGCTGTTTCCTTAGGCCCTGCCGTGTAGGGATGAACAGAGGCCAGAAACATGGTTTGACCAAGACATGGTTTGACGATAAGGCCTGGCAAGCACTGCAAGGCTCAGACACGGGGCAGCAGTACACATGGGATCGCTTAAACAACGGACACCCCTTTCTCACAGTGCTGGAGGCTGAAGTCCAAGATCAGGTTGCCAGCATGGCTGGGTTCTTGGTGAGGACTCTGTTCCTAGTATGTCCTTACATGGCCTTCTTTGGTACATGCACACAGAGATAGCTCTTGTCTCTTTTACTTCTTTTTTACTTTTATCCTCACCCGAGAACATTTTCCCATTTTTTTGTTCAGGTAGAGTGGGAGGGAGAGAGAGGAATAGAGAGAGAGAGAGAAACATCGATGTGAAAGGAACACATCGAGTGGCTCCCACCCGCACGACCAACCAGGGCCGGGGACAAACTGCAACCGAGGTACGTGCCCTTAGCAGGAACCGAACCCGGGTCTCTCAGGACCGCAGGTCGACGCTCTAACCACTGAGCCAAACTGGCCAGGGCTCTTTTACTTCTTATTAGGACACTAATTTCATCATGAGAGAGGCACCTTTATGACCTAACCGAACCCTAATTACTTCCAAGAGGTCCCACTCCTAATGTCATCACATTGGAGATTAGGGTTTCAATATACAAATATTGGAGTGACACAAACATTCAGTTCAGAGCAGAGATTATTATTATTATTAATAATATTTTCCCTAGAATTGAATAGAAAGACTAACATTGGTAGCAATGATAGAGTTAAATCTCAAAACGAAAAACACTAAAAGCTTTGCAGATGAAACAAAATTGCAAAGGTGAAATGGAAATGACTAAAGTCTGAACTCACTAAGCAGCAGAGATAAGTCTGGTTTATGTGATCTTCCTCTGCATCC